GTCATTGCTCTACGATAACGTCCGCGTGAATTGCTCAGGGAAAATGTCCGTCTATGAAGGACGTGACATTGAACCAACGAGAACAGGCAAGACTCCAGGTGCTCAACAGCGTGATGGAATATCAACTTCCCAGGGCTCAGGCGGCCGAAATTCTGGGGATCAGCGAACGCCAGGTCCGGCGAATCCTGGCGGCCTATCGGAGGGATGGGGCCGCCGCACTGGTCCACGGCAACCGGGGCCGCAAGCCCCGCAACTCGGTCCCCGAGGATGTCGCTGCCACCACGGTCATCCTGGCCAGCGAGAAATACGTCGGCTTCAACCACAGCCACCTGACCGAGGTCCTGGCAGAGCGGGAGGGCATTCAGCTGAGCCGGCAGACGATAAGCCGTCTGCTCAACCGCCACGGCCTGACCAGTGCCAGGCGCCATCGTCCCCCCAAGCATCGTGTACGCCGGGAGCGTATGCCCCAGGAGGGCATGCTGCTGCAGATCGACGGCAGCCATCATCGCTGGCTGGAGGACAGAGGGCCCAGATTCGTATTGCTGCTGGCAGTGGACGACGCCACCGGCACGGTGGCCAATGCTCTCTTCCGACCCGAGGAGGACACTCGGGGCTACTTCCTGCTGATGGATGGGGTAATCCGGCGCTACGGCATCCCCCTGGCTCTCTACGGTGATCGCCACGGGGTCTTCAAGTTCAACGGCAAGCCCCGGCATATCCCCCAACCGGTGGGCCCAACCCAGTTCACCCGGGCCATGGGGGAACTGAGCATCGAACAGATCTTTGCCCGCTCGCCACAGGCCAAGGGACGCGTGGAACGCATGAACGGCACCTTCCAGGACCGGCTGGTCAGCGAACTCAGGCTGGCGGGAGCCGCGACCATCGACCAGGCCAACGCCGTGCTGCGGGACTTCCTGCCCCGCTTCAACAACCAGTTCCGAGTGCCTGCCCAGCAGTCCCCCGGCCGTCTATCGTTCCTTGGCCTCCTCCCTGCATCTGGAACGGATCCTCTGCTTCAAGCACCTGCGCCAGGTGGCCAGGGACAACACCGTCAAGTACCAGTTGCGCACCCTGCAGCTGCTTCCAGCCCAGACCGGCCCAGCTATGCCGGTGTCAAGGTGGAGGTGCTGGAGCAGAGCGACGGACAGCTGATGGTGCAGCACGAGGGGAAGGTGATCGCCCACCAGGAAGCTCCGCCCAAGGCGGGAGCGCTGCGGGCCGCCCAGGGGGCACTGGCTCCCTACTCCCGAACTGGCCCAGGTGGTCAGGAACCTGAGCCAGCATGGTCTCACCAGGTTGCAACTGCAGCGCCTGGCCGCTTTGGAAGCACCCGTCGACCAACCGATGAATGATGAGAACGGCCCCACCTCTTACACTCCGCCACCCAAGCAGGCAACGCCGCGCAAGCAGGCCCTGTGGAAAGCTGTCCACCACGCCAGGCTGCAGGGTGTCTCCCTGAGGGGCATCGCCAAGCAACTGGGTATTTCCAGAAACACGGTCAGGAAGTACGTCGACTTGCCAGCTCCCCCCATCAACCGGACTCCCAGACTGACTACCCAATCAGTAACTCAGCACCATACCAACGGACATTTTCCCTGAGCACTTGGGCGGACATTTTCGCTGGACAACAACACTACTTCTGCCCATTTTTAACTTGCTACTAACACCGGCAACCCCACGCAGTCTAGTACTACAACGACGGGTTGTCTGGTAGGATGGCTGGACAGATGATGTTGGGTGGTTTGGGTGATGGATGCGGAGAGCTTCGAGCGGGTCTACGACAGCCTTCAGGAATTCCAGGCCTTCTTTGCGGCCTCCTTCGGCCGCAAGCAGTGGCGGGAGCACAGCGGGAATTACCTTCAGGCGCTGCTGGTGCAGGACCAGGAGCGGCGCAACGCCGAGAATCTCTCGGAATCGGTGGGCATCTCGGCCCGGGCGATGCAGCGCTTTCTCACCGAGGCCCGGTGGTCCGATGAGACAGTCATAGGGCGGTTGCAGGAATACTTGGCCCCCAGGCTGGGACACCCGGAGGCGGTGTGGGTGTTCGATGGCAGCGACTTCCCCAAGCAGGGCAGGAAATCGGCGGGAGTGGCCCGGCAGTACTGCGGCAGGCTGGGCAAGGTGGCCAACTGCCAGGGTGGGATGTTCCTGGCCTACGTCAGCCCGCTGGGCCGGGCGTTGGTGGACAAACGGCTGTATCTGCCCAAGAGTTGGACCTCCGACCAGGACCGGTGTGCTGCGGCGGGTGTGCCGGAGGACCGGCGGAACTACCGGTCAAAGACGGAGTTGGCCCTGGAGCTGCTGGAGCGGGTACTGGAGCTGGGCTACCTCAGGGCCGAGTGGGTTGCCGGAGACGACGCCTTCGGGATGTCGCCGACCTTCCGGGAGGGACTGGCGGCCCTGGGGATGCGCTACGTGTTGGACGTTCCGGGCGGCACCACGGTCTGGCCATTGGACCCGGCTTGGACCAGTACGGAATATCCAGGTTTCGGGCGCCCCCGCAAACCCAGGCTGCGGGATGGGCAGCGCCGGACCATGGAGCAGCGCGGTGATGAACTGCCGGATGAGGCTTGGCGGGAGATAACGGTGGCCCAGGGAAGCCAGGGGCCGCGCACCTACCGGTTCAGTGCCCAGCGGGTGCGGGCCACCAGGAGGCGCAAGCCCGGCGAGGAGCTGTGGGCCGTCTGGCGCCGGAACCTGGACGGCAGCGAGCCTCGCTACTACCTGTCCAACGCTCCTGAGGACACAACCTTGGAGACTCTGGCCTACGTGGGTGGGTCTAGGTGGCGCATTGAAACGGAGTTCGAGACTGAGAAGGGCGACGTGGGGCTGGACGAATACGAGACCCGCAGCTGGGCAGGGTGGCATCACCACATAGCCATGTGCCTGCTGGGAGGAGCGTTCCTGCTGGGCCTGCAGCAGGATTGGGGGGAAAAAGATGCCCCGGATCACGAGACCGCAGGTGTACCGGGTGGTGCGTGAGATGCTACCCCGGGAGCAGTTCGGGCCCGATCAATTGCTGTTGTGGCTGGAGGATACGCAGCTACGCAACGAACGGGCTCGCCGTTCCCACGAGAGACGCCGCTCCACCCGCCGCGATGGCAGGATGGAGCCGCCACCCTAAAGCCGTCGTTGTAGTACTAGGTGGCTGTAAACAGGGCTGTTTCCAGCCATGGCGGCCGGGTGCGGCCGGGCCAGAGTCGGCGTTGCAGACTCGGCGATCGTGCCGCAGGGACGGTGGTCCGGGAGCGCCGTTGGCATCTGGCCGTAGCGCGGAAGTATCCACCGTTGGCATGATTGAACTGTCGCTGACCAACGGCGACGCCGGCCGGCCCGACCAACCGGGCGGTCGTCTTTTTTGCCATGGGCCTTTGAGGACTTGCCGTCGACTCTGAAACATGTGGCTGAACCAAGGTGCATCAGCCTAATTGACGACGAAGACCCCAGTCCGGAGAAACGCACTGGGCCACCCCGCACCGGGCAGCCCAAAGCGTAAAATTGCCAACATCTCCCAACGCCGGACCCCATCCAGGACACTGTTCGCTTGAACACATCAAGGACGAAGCAACCATGACCGCCCAGAACGACATCGAAACCCGACTGGCCGAACTCCTCAAGGAAATCAAGGACGGGGACCAATGGCAGGTGGGCTACCCCGGCAACCAGAACTTCGACTACTCCCCTCTCATCCCATTCCTCAGCCACTGCCTCAACAACATAGGAGACCCCTTCCACCAGACCCACTACCGGGGCAACACCCACCAGTTCGAACGAGAGGTCATACTCCACTTCGCCCAACTCACCGGACTGGATCCCGACGACGCCTGGGGCTACGTCACATCGGGCGGCACCGAGGGCAACATGTACGGCCTCTACCTGGCCCGGGAACTCCATCCCGAGGGCATGCTGTACTTCTCCGAGGAAGCCCACTATTCGATCCTCAAGATTGCCCGCGTCCTCAATATGCCCCACACCACCGTCAAGAGACGGCCGACGGCGAGATCGACTACGACGACCTCAGGGACATGCTGACCGTCCATCGGGGGCGGCCCGCCATCATCCTGGCCACCATCGGCACCACCATGCGCGGCGCCGTGGACGACATCCCCGCGATCCGGCAGATCATTGACGAGCTGGACATCGGAGAACACTACATTCACGCCGACGCAGCGCTAAGCGGCATGATCCTGCCCTACGTGGATGACCCACAGCCTTTCGGGTTCGACGCCGGCATCGACAGCATCTCCATCAGCGGCCACAAACTCATCGGCGCACCCCTGCCCTGCGGTATCGTTCTCACCCGCAAACACCTGGTCGAAACCCTGGGCAGGGCCGTGAACTCGTCGGCGTCAACGACACCACCCTGTCCGGTTCCCGCAACGGCCTGACCCCGCTCATGCTCTGGTACGCCATCAACCGTTCACGGCGCACACGAATGGAGAGAAACCGTCGGCGGCATGCTCGACACTGCCGAGTACGCCGTGAAACGGTTCAATGAACACGGCATCAACGCCTGGCGACACCGGAACTCTCCCACCGTTGTATTCGACCGACCCTCGCAGGAAGTCTTCGACAGGTGGCAGATTGCCCCCGAGGGCGACGTGGCCCACATCATCACCATGCCCCACGTGGACTTCCAAACCATCGACCGGCTGGTCGAGGACTGCATCAGCCCGCATTCCGAACCGCCGCGGGAACACGATCTCCAGCCAGCGGGAAACTGTCCTGCTGGCTCAAGAGCAGGGAGACGGAGCGCGCTCACGCAACAACGATGCAGCGCATCGTGATCATGGCCGAAAACCGCATCGGGACCATTGCCCGGATTGCCGGCACCCTGGCCGAGGGCGGAGTGAACCTCAACAGCATCGCGACCGAGAACGAGGGACAGCACGGAGTGGTGATCATCACCACCGACCGGACGGACCACGCCCTTGCGATCCTCAACCAAGCCGGGCTTCAAAGCAGTCGCTGACGAGGCTGTACTGGTCCAGCTGGCGGACCAGGCCGGAGCCCTGGCCAACCTTGCCGGCGAACTCAAGGACGCCGGCCTCAGCATCAGGACTTTCCACATCATCGAGCGCCGGAATGACTACGCGACCGCGGCCATCACCACCGATGACCAGGAAAAGGCCAAGACGGCCCTGGCCAACCGCTATACCGTAATATAAGCACACCGCGACGCCAGGGCGCAGCGGTCTTGACAGCCCCGCCGTTCACGACCCCAGAGCTGTACCCAGGAGACGACGCCGAAGCGTACAGACTCCGTGCGTGGATCCATGACCACAAGGGAAACCGCGCAACCGCCAAGTGGGACCCACAATTAGCCAAGTTGGTTCCGTTTGCTTGTAGCGTATGGAATTAGGAGACAGCCTGCTAGTACTACAACGACGTTTTCTCAAATTCGCGGGATTTTGACCTGAATTCGCTTCGAGGAAGGTACGACAATAAAGCTGTCCGGCGTGTGGGCAGGTCGCCATGAATAGGGGTTCAAAGTCCCTTTCTTGTAAAGTGTCGTTGTAGTACTAGCAGAAGAGATATACGCTACAAGCAAACGGAACCAAGCTCGTGATAAATGACCTTATCACGAGTTTAAGGAATTGCCTGGAACCAGCGCCTCGCTGGCGAAACCGTCCGGATTTGGTTTAATTCTCCGCGACGGCCAATGCTTTGGCAAAGTCGCGACTTTCCATCAATGCCTCGATGTCACCAACCGGGTAGCCATTTGCTATGGCACCGCTTAGAGCAGCCTCTGCGAACACAGACGCCAGTTTGAAGTTCCCCTCCCCCCCGTGCCGTCGAGTCGCGGCCGGCGCCAGTCTCTCGACTGGTCGCTGATCGAATACATGCGTCAGCAGCGCGGTGCCGGCAAGTCGTGGGCGGAGCTGGGCCGGGAAACAGGTGTCCCGGAACGTACCATCAGGCGCGCCCTCAACTCCATGCCTAGGGGGCGCCCACAGTTGCCGTGTTCCGGCCGGGAGAACAGCGACTCCGTACTGCGTCAGACAGATGATACAATCAGGAGCAGAGCACAGTCAGATGACCACCATCAACGACATAACGGACCTGATCCGGATACTGCGGAACGACCCGGACTGGGCCGAGGCAGTCCGGAGCGTGCTGCTCTCCCAAGAGCTGCAGAAGCTACCTGAAGAGTTCGCCACCCTCACCAGGGCTTTCAGGGAGCACGCAGACAACACGAACCGGAGACTCGAAAGCCTCGAAGCCGGCCAGGACGAACTCAGGCAGGGACAAGCCCAGCTACAGACCTCCGTCGACGGCCTGCAGACTCTCCGTCGACGGCCTGCAGATCTCCCTCAACGGAATGCGAGGCGAACTGGGCAACCTGTCTGGATCCTTCTTCCAGCGACGCGCCGGAAACTTCGCAGGCCGCGTGGCCAGGAGAGATTTTCACCTCCGGCAGACCAGCCTGGTGCACCATGCCGATCAGGTCGAAGACAGTATCCTCAAGCAAATGCTCGACGACGCGGCCGAGGACGCCTCCCGCAATTTCAACGAGGACCAGGCCGCTCAGATAGAACAGGCCGACGCCGTCATTGCGGGCAAAGCTCCAGACGGAACCACCGCATACCTCCTGGTCGAGGCGTCCATCACCATAGTCAAAGGCGACGTCGACCGCGCGAGGAACCGAGCCGAACTGCTGAATCACGCCGTCGGCACGACAACCCACGCCCTGGTCATAGGCGAATCCATAACCGGCGAGGCCGCAGCGCAGGCGAAAGACACTGGTGTCGCATTCGCCGCATTCACACCGAGAAGAACCCCAGCCCAGGACCCCGGTTCCGTTTGCTTATAGCGCATGTGCACCATCGCGCTCTAGTTTGGATACGCTATAAGAAATCAGAACTGGTGAAAGGCGTTCACGGCTCCCTTGGGAACAGGGTCAAGCAGCTCATGCTAAACGGCGTGGATTGGGCGGGGGAGGATTTAGTCGGGGTTCGGGCGCAGGGGCGGCGGAACTGGTCACAGTCTCTCCTAGCGCCGTCCAAACCGCCTTCTGTATTCCTCACTGAGTTGCTCTTGTTCCTCCTGCAGGACCTCGGCCAGAGAAGCCAGGGCACCATCAACTGAAACGGTCGGGGGAGCGGCGCGCGTCAGTTCGATGTTCAGTCCTTCGAACGCCCTCTCCTGGTACGCCAGCCACGCCAGGCGGGGCACATCTGCATGAGGACCGTCAGGACCGTTGGCGCTGGCCTCCAGCACCGCCTCCTCCAGCTTGAGTGTTGCCATTTCGCGGCGCAGCTTCGCCGGGAGTATTTCCTGCCAGTAGCGTTGGTGACCAAGGGATTCGAGGTAAGCCTCACCTTCTCTCAGCGTTTGCTCCAGTTGGCGCCAGTCGTTCCCCTTCATGGCCTCCATGAGCTCAGACGGAGTCAGGTCTTCTAGAGTCCTTCCGATGTCGGGGTTCCTTGTCTCCACCGCCAGTTTCCCGAATCCGGCAAGGTCCTGATTCTGCGCCAACCTCGCCAACTGAACGACGTCGTGGAAACTCTCCCACCGGAGCCGGTCCCGGTCGAGGCGGACCGAGACCTCTTCCTGGGAAGGGGCATGTCCGCCGGCAACCGCACTCTGATAGAGGGCAGAGTCCCTGATGGCATCCGCCAGCGCGATGGTTTCGGGGCCGTAGAAGTTCACGCGGTCGTTCCACCGTCGCTGGTAATCAGTGGAGGCTTGTTCATCAATGAGCAACCCAAATTCCGCGTTTTCGATGGTTGTTTCTATGATGTGGAGCCGGTTGGCATAATGGGAAAGGAGGATGCACTGGCTGTCGATGCGGGCTATGGCCGGGTCGTCACCCCACGCCAGGGAGTCGCAGTCGGGACGGTAGGGCAACGCCCAAACGGCAGCGATCAAGGCTACCAGGCAGATGGGTGGAAGCCACCGGCGTGTGCCATAGAAAGTCATGTGCGTTCCTGTCCAGAGTTCCGAATTCTTATAGCGTATTAGAACTGGAGGGCGGTGGCGCACATGCGCTATAAGCAAATGGAACCAGCCAAGGGAGTTTTCCACCAGACTAACTGACTCCCATAATCAGAAGGCTAATGTACATCTTCCCCCCACTGACGATCTCGGCCTACGCCCCACCTGCCCGCTGCAAGCACCCGGTTCGCCATGAGTTTGAGCCCGCTAAGCAATTTCCGTTAATGCACCTTTTGTGTAATCCGCCCCGCCACTTGCGCTTATCCGCAATTTCGGGAAGTTAGCGCTGCATAAGGAGATCTCCTCAGCGTTGGGCAAGCCAGTCCGAAACAGGTAGAGCAGGCCCCACGGTTTCCAAATCCCTTCGACCAGGTATAGAGGCGCAGGTATACCTGGGTAAGACCAGCGTGTTTGCCTTACCGCACACGACCCATCCCCTCAAAAACCCTTGACAGCGTTTTTGAGCGTCGATTATTGT